CATAAACAGATGATTCTGATCCCTTTTCTTTTGATGGACCAGAAATTGTGAGTTGTACACGGTGCCAGACAGATTGGAAAAAATGAAAGAATGTTACTTTGAAAACCATTAAACAGAAGCCAAAACGAAAGGGATATGGGACAGTTAGTACTGTGACTAAAACAGTTTCCAGTGATTCTTTAATTTTTTTTTGCTCCAAACTCAGGGTTATACTTCACTGGAGAAGCTATTGAGGACAATGTTGATGATTCTGATGAGGTTGAAGACACTGCCGAGGAAGGGAAAGAAGGAGGAGATGAGGAAAATGATCAATCCAGACTATGACCCAAAGAATGGTCAAAGCCTGGAAGAGTGTAAGCAGCAGTGCAGTAGTGTCCGGCCTTGAGGGCCACCTGCCCTGTGATAGCCTAACATGACTCATTTACTTACAGACTTACGTTTTCATATTTTCTTGGTTGAATCAGTAAGATTTTAAGAGAAAGGAAATTGGTATTTTTGTTGTTGTTGTTTTTACTAATCATTTTATTCATTTACATTTCAAATGATATCCTCCTTCCTGTTTTCCCTCCACAAATTCCCCATCCCATCACCCCTCCCCTTTACCTCTATAAGGGTGCTCCTCCATCCACTCACCCATTCCCACCTCACCACTCTAGCATCCCCCTATGCTGGGGAATCAACCCTCCACAAGACCAAGGACCTCCCACCCCAATAATGTCAGATAAGGCAATCCTTTGCTACATATGTTGCTGGAGCCATGGATCCCTTCATGAATATTCTTTGGTTGATGGCTTAATTTCTGGGAGCTCTGGGCACCCAGTTAGTTGATATTGTTCTTCCTATGAGGTTGAAATCTCTTCAGCTCCTTCAGTCCTTCCCCTAGCTCTTTCATTGGGTTCCCTGGGCTCAGTCTGATGGTTGGTTGTGAGTATTTGCATCTGTATTGGTCAGGTGCTGGCAGAATCTCTCAAGGAAAAGCCATACCAGCCTCCTGTCAGCAAGTGCTTCTTGGCATCAGCAATAGTACCTGGGTTTGGTGTCTACCGACAGTCTCTAAATGGTGTTTCCTTTTGTCTCTGTTCTATTTTTTGTCCCTGTCTTTACTTTGGACAGGAACAATTCTGGGTTTAAAATTTTTGAGATGGGTGGGTGGCTCCATCCCTCAATTGGGGACCACACCTATCTACTGGAGGTGGTCTCTACAGATTCTGTCTACTCTTTGTTGGGTATTTCAGGGAAAGTCATCACCATGGATTCCTGGGAGCTCTTGCTTCCCTGAAGTCTGGGACTTTCTAGTGGCTAGCCTACTTCTCTATCCCCCTTTCTACATGTTTCTATTCAAAGACCAATTTGTTATACCTAGCATCCTAAGTATACCTCTGTTAGATATGTTGAATGCATAGATCCTCTCTAATGCATGTTCAATTATTGCTGCAATTTGGTACTTCTGGAATATTCTCATCATCATGTAACTATTGGAATACAATTATGAAAAATCAGCTGTTGAACACATTTGATTGTTGAACAAAGAAAAGAACCAAAGTCGTTTCCAGCTGGTAGAACAGGTTGAAATCCACCTGTATCAGCTGTGCTTTCCATTCTGTTGTTAGAGGGATGTGGTGACTAACACCAAGAAAGGCCATCATTTGAAGAAGGAAAATTGTGAATAAGAATTTCCAATAAGATTAAACTTACTAAGATTATTAAGGGATTTTTATGTTTTAGATTATATAACAAGACTCAACTCATGCTTATTATCATAGCAAGGTCAGCAAACCCTATTTTCCCTTCTGAAGTTAATTGATTGTATTTAATGTACTTTGAAAATTAACTTCCATTAATTAACTCTTTTCTTTGTGGCAGGACCTACTTTTTGCTTTCCTGGAAAAGATGAATATACATGATTTGAACCTATTTTGAGTTTTTCTGTTGTTCAGAAAACTTTTGTTTTTATAGCATAAAATAAATGTCCCAGTTTTAGCTCTCACTGGGTGACTGTATTGATTTGTATTGATTGAGGCTATTGCAGACGGTTAGTATAAATTCAGGGCTGCCTAGTTTTCTATGCTGAACAACTTTGGAGGAGATAATATGCATGTACTTTAATAAAAGCGATGTGCTATAGTTAGTTTTTTTTAAACAGAAAATTGAAATTCCATTTGTTAGAACTAAATACTTTCTTGACGTTCATATTTATTCTAGTCCTCTGTGCTGAAGGGATGAGGAACGCCATGAGCTATGCTGTTTATTGTGTATAACTGAGAATGAGTGGTACTGGTGAGACCACTACCTCACAGCTCTGTTAGGACATATTGAAGTAAATCTCACATACTTTCTCAGTCTTACAAAAGGGTCAAAAATATTGGTTCTCTATACCATGAGTGAAATATTCAGGAATATGTAACTCCCGTTCTAGTAGGAATGAATGAAATTAGTGTGTAATTTCAAGAGATTGAAGGATGTTGGTATTTTTGAGTTAGCTCCCCCTACTTCAGATATTTCAAGTGACTACATTGCAATAAACCCTAAAGTGGTAATGAGGCCATTAAAGGGAGGGCAGTATTAAGTTTTCTACCACTAAGAGCCACATTTAACAAATCTCAGGCTAATTGCTATTCATTTGGGGGGAAGGAACAATTTTTGACAGGGCATATTAATTGTATTAAACTTGGGGAGAAGTCTATAGTTCCTGCTGTTAATAAAATTTACATGGAGGATTTTGGGGGGGGGAAGGTGATAGCCTTTTTTTGTGAAATTTTAGTATTAAGCTTTGAGAATGTGAACACCTTCCTGAGATTTTTAATTACTGGAAATCCTTAATGAATTATATTATTTTCTTTAGTTTGAAAATGATTTGCTTGTACTTTTTCAGATGGCTTGTGCTATTTTCTATAATCATAGTTCATCTAAACACAGCTTATTTTCTTGAATGTTAAAGTTTATAACCTAAAGATAGTATCTCATTTTTAGTGAACTTCCACCCTTCCTTCCGTAGGAAGTAGCTGCTCCCAAAGCCAAGGGATAGCTGCTTGGCTCTTGTATAATGGGGATTTGCTGCGCGGAGCTTTGGGGGTCAGTCTTCATTGTGACAATCTGTCAGTCCCTAAATGGTTCTATTCTACGCTAGATGTCTGAAATATGTAATCTGAAATCCTTAATAAAACTAGATCTAGTTTCATAAAAAAACAACATAAAAATATCCTTAAAACCCCTAAAAGAAGTAGCATATGACTCAGCTACACCATTCCTCAGCATACAGCATACAAAGGATCCTGAGTGAACAGACCACATAGACTTTGCTTATTGTTGTTTACTGCAGCACTACTCACAAGAGCTGTTACTGAATCAGTTGGGTGTCCATCAGTGGGTGAATGCATATAGAAAAAAATTACATATTCTCAAAAAGGCAAATATTATGTGTTTAGTTTCTTTCATCAGTAAATCATGGATTTTATGAAGACATAAATTATTTAGGGGATATGCATCAAGAAAGTGAAGAAGAAGAAGTGAAACTGGGGGAAGGAAGAAACAGACATTTCTATAGGGACAAAAAGATCTTTTTAGCAAATGGTGCTTGCACAAATGAAAATCCACATGCAAAATAAAATGATCCTTTATCCCTACCCTCTAGCACACACAAAAATAATCCAAAATATATCACACACATAAGTGTGTAAAGCATGGCTGTAAAAATATTCAATGAAAGTATAGGAATGATGTCATCATGACCTTGGTTTAGGATTGCCTCCTTAGTTATGATAGCAAAAGTAAAAAGAAATAAATGATCAACATATGAAAACTGACTTTGTTAAACTTAAAAACTTGAACATCAAATAACTATCTGTGAAAAAACTGATAGAATGGAAAATAACATTTCAGATCATGTCTACAATAACAAGTAATCCTATTATAGAAGAAATTATTATAATTCAGTAATAAAGACATCAAAGCTAAACAGAGGAATGGAAAAGATATTTTTCCAAAAAAGTTACCCAAACAGCCATAACTACATAAGAAAAATGTTTGGTATTTAGTACCAAAGAAATGTAAACTACAAATCTACTGAGATGCCATAAAATAGCTCCTGCAATGGCTATAATAAAAAAATGTGTAATAATAACAAACATTTTCCCAACATTAGAGAATTTATCACAGTAGTACCCTTCTAGTGGTGATGTAAAATAGTAAAGCCAATTTGAAAACATGTGGTAGTGTTACTCAAATTTTTAAACAGAATTGCCACATGAACCGTACATATAAATATGCAAAACAATTTAAAACAGGTGTTCAGACAAAAATATATCAGCATTCATAGTAGCCTTATGCATGATAAACAAAGGTAGATATGTATAAAATATACATCAAATGATTAATAAAGCGAAATGTGGTTCTACCCACATAATAAAATATTATCTCACAACATAAAGAATAGATACTCTATTCATCAATGACTTTCAACATGTGGCAAAGATGAAATTCAAAAGTATGGTAACAGAAGGAACCATTAATCAAAAATCAAATGCTTTATGATTCCATTCATGTAACATTTGCAGAACTGTTAACTTTATAAAGATTAAAAGTAAATTACTGGTTGTGTATAGCTGATGGAGGATGAACTAACAGGTAAGGAAATATGTTCGATGCTGAAGTGTTTCACACTGTGCTGATGATTGCACAAAATCCATGGAATCTTGCATTTTAAATAGGTAAATTTTAAGGTATATCAAATACCTCAATGAACAGTTAAAAAAATCATGGAAAAATAGTAATTACATTAACAGTTGTAAGCCACCATGTGTGTGCTGAAAACAGAACCTGGTTTCTCTGGAAGAACTTTAAGTGCTCTTAAACACTGAGTCATTCCCCCCCTCCAGCCCCAAGAATGGTTACTCTTTCTAAAGACATTTAAAAATTAGTTACAAAGGGATGATTAGTAATATTCAGAAACCAGGGATTGTGGAAGGAAGACAAAAGACCAGAAAATTAAAAGTACTCAAACATGAATCATTTAATCAGTTTTATTGAAATTGATCAGATGAAAAGTATCAGTGTTCCATAGAAAAGAATTAATGTTGTACTTTGTATATTTTAAACACTGACTGCTTAACAAAATCCATGTGAGTTCTACTTTGTGTGGGTTTTACTTAAGGAATGAAGTCTGATTTCACCAAAACTCCCTGTACTCTGTCTTTCCCAATCAAAACAATCTTTGTTTCAAAATTCTCTATTCGGGTTCCCAAAGAAGTGTCCACATTTAGCAATACAATTAACAATTGATACTGTTTTTGAAAATGGAACTTTCTGAAGATTGAAATTTCTAAAAGGCAAATCAGCTCTAAAATATGAAATTCACCAATTACCAGGTATGATTTAGAATCACAAATATGCCAAACATACTATGAAAAGCAGTAAGAATTTTACTTCCAAGCACATACTATGGAAGCTTTCTTCAAAACTCATCTTAATTCTCAGACTTTTATTTCCCTTTCTTTCATCTAACAGGAATGTTTCTCAGTTGACAAAATGAGGCTTCAATCAGAGAAGACACAATTCAAACTTGTACTTTAAATCTACAGACTTCAGGGTAGTATCCCATGGTCATAAACATCCCCCAATGTATCTATTTTTGAATAATGCTTATTCAGACAGTATTATTTAATACAAAAGAAAAGCTTAAAGCTAAATTGTCCACATGGAATATTGCAAGTATCACCTGTAGCATTTAGCAACATTGAGGAAAAACATTGGCTAAAAGTATTTTACTCACTCCAAAATTCATCTGAAGCACTGTCTTCCATAGAAATCTCCAAAACTATTTTTTTTTCTTTTTTGTCAAAAGAAAAAGAGAAAATGGAATACTTTGACTCTGATTCATAGTTCAAAGTTAAGATCACTAAAAATTGTCTTCAAATTGTTTTTTATTCTTGTTTTGTTTGATTTGGTTTTTCTCCTTTCTAAACATCTACAAACAGCAATTACTAATCAAAATTACTGTATAACATTTAGAGTCGAGTAACACATAATTTTTAAAACCATTTATTTTAAAGCATCAATTCATGCTTGAGTTTCAGTAAACAGAGCTATGGCTTCATTATATGTTGAATTTTTGCCTAGTACAGTCTAGTAAACGGCAGATACCATGATAATAGTAATTAGAAGTAAAAGGTATTTGTTTATTTGTTTGTTTGTTTTAAAAATCACATATTAGACAAAGGTACAATATCAACATCTTCTGGTTGAATGCTTTGGATCTTGCTTATCTTCAAACGATTTCAAAAGTTGCTGCTTTTCTTTGATACTTGTACTTTCTCAAAAGATCAAGGTGTGCTTAGTGATTCTTTCTACTTGAATGGATATGTGACACGGTCTGCCTAAACTGAAACTAAAAGCTTACCTATTAAGAACAGTATCATTCATGATCACCAACAGTGTTAAAGCAAGAGACAAGAGCCACTACTACTTCTTTGAGCAAACACTGTAAGAAAATAAATCTTAAGCATTGAGGGGCAAGATAGTGTATAACTGTTAATTAAAAGTCTGTGTTCTTTGCAAGGAAGGGCCAATTTAAAATGAACTGCCATCTTTTCTCCATGACTTACATATCCACATTTTACTGAGGCAAGCAATTTAGAAACATGCTTATAACTGCATGCATAAGCATGGAATTTGTCAGTTGAATGCACTCAATGCTTGTCTTATGGGAAGTCAACTAATTTGATCACTGACTGTGCAATGAAAGGTTACATTTAGAAGTCTAGAAAACTTGTGGTTCTGGGCATACATGTTTCTTTGATAAAAGAAGAATGTCATAATCACCATAGGAAATTACAATGGCTAAAACATCATGAACATAACCTGTAAATACATTTCAACAACAGTAACATCACATCAAAATATTCATGGTCACTAAAGATAATGAGGCATTTTTCGAGTAAGTCTCTCTCTCTCTCTCTCTCTCTCTCTCTCTCTCTCTCTCTCTCTCTCTCTCTCTCTCTCCTTTTTTAATTCCTCAAAGTTGAAATGTAATTATAAAAGAAGGAGCATATTGGTTTTTTGTAAAATCCTTACAGAACATGAAATGCCTTGGTAGATGTAGATTACAATGCTACTCTATGATATCTACTTAAAGTTTTAAATTCATCTCTAATTTCTTACCACCATGTTCACATTTTCATTATGCTTGTTTGCATGCAAAAACATCAACTAATCTACTATTTCAACATGGAAGCATATTTCTTTTGAAGCAAGAATCTCTGTAAAAGCAATGGAGACTTCATTATTTTTCAAGGTGCTGAAGGAAGAACACAGAACATTCATGCTTGCTGCTTTGCCTGAGCTTCTGCTTCCTGGAATAAAACAAACAAACAAACCTTACATTTAAATATCAGAAGGAAGATACTCTTGTGCATTTTGGTTAAAATAAACTATCTCAAGTGACTAAGATTATTCAAAAATATAGCAATTACTTCCATGATTTAAAAAAAAAAAAAGGCTTTAAAATAATTAGCCCGAGCTTTCATCATGTCAGAAACTGCTTTGTAGGCTGCTGGGAGAGGACCAGCATCACATTCTTACTCGGCAGTGGGTCCTGTATAACATACAACCAACTCACAGGCAAGATAGGTCCCTGGGGAAGTGATGGTGTGATTTTTATAGGGGCTAGCAACTGTTTTCTGTTTGGATTTGAAGCCTGCTCCCCAAGAGAAAATTCATATGTGGTTCTAGAAGCCTGGTAAAAAGCCCATGGGCAGGGAGGTCACAGGTACTTGGAGGAATCCACTATTGTTTTGCTAAATGGTCATGTTGCATTCAGCACACTGCCTTCTAAATAATTGGATTTATGACCATATAGTGCTGCTTAAAAACTTGGTCAGAGACATTTCTTTTTGCTGTGAACAGCAGCTGATAACTAATCAAAGTACTAGGAAAAGTGACTGTTGAATGTTCAGTCATGAATGGGACATCTGTACCACTTTCTCAAAGTCTGAATGAACACTTTGGAAAAGAGAGTGGGAAAAAAAAAGTCAGAGGATGGGAATGTTATCGAATGCTGTCTTTGGGCACAGCATAATCTTTACAGTCATTTCATAAATTCGCACTGAAGTTACCTACAGAAGATGGGAGCCTGAGGATATTCTCTCATGGAATTAAGGGAGGGGCTTCTGAGGCCCCGCCCATTCTTGAGACGCTATTGGCAGTTAACAGGTAAAGGTTGCAGTTAATGGTTGCTAGGAGATAGAAGGTAATTTTTCTTCAATGGTAGATGGCTTTGGTAAATGGCTCCCTATCATATCAGCAACCCTTTTTAAATTCAATAGGTCGTACACAAAAGCATGGACTAAACATGGGACTACATGGACAAAAGAGGTTCGGAGAGAGGGAGATAAGGTAATGGGGTGAATATGACCAGAATCCACTACATACATGTGTAAGATTATCAAGAGAAATACAAAATGCTTTTAAAAAACTTGGCAGAAAACCAAACCATAACAAAACTCTGAAAGAGCAACTAGCATATACAGCTGGGGAAATAGTTATATAATAATGTGGATAACCTTGTGTCAAACATTTCTTCACATAAATGCACATCTATTCCCAGTGACCGGCACACTCCCTGTAGTCATACTCCATTTTTCCTAATGAAAGAAACTACTAACATGGACGTCTAAAACAAAAGGGAATTCTACATTCTTGGTAACTGGCCATTAGAATGCATATTAACAGACATAGTGGCCTATACCTTCAATTCTAGTACTGGAAGAGAAGGGCAGAGGCAGGTGGATGTGTCTGAATTCAAGGTAAGTCCAGTCTACAGAGTAAGTTCATATTTAATTTTAGAAATAAAATATAACGTAGGACCAGTGAATCAGCTCAAAAGGCATAGGTACCTGCTGTCCAGGATGAAGCCTGATGACTTGAGTTCAAACCTTGGAACTTTTACCTACACATGTGCATTGTGGCACTAATGCTCCCTCCCAAGACACACACACACACACACACACACACACACACACACACACAATGTGCACATACACTGAATAACAAAAAAAATGTTAAAAGAAAGTAAACAAGATCCATAAAATGTATCCACTTAATAGTCATCCCCTGGCCTCCATATGCACATGCATGCCTAAGTACACTCACATTATGCACATACATACATATAACAGTAATTAAAGACTTAATTGATTTTTAAAAGGATATCATAAAAACTTCCCCCTGTGCCTGCACAGGTTTTGAGTTAATTAATTCAGGATTCAGTTTTCAGCTATGCCACTCAATTATGCATTCTTGGACACAATAAATTAAGTCTTCGTTTCTCCTGTACAATACACTTAGCTCATAAAGAGCATGTAAAAATACAAAGATGAGAGGGGTGCATACAGAGTGTGCGGCTCAGTGAGTGACCACATTATAGGCACCAACTCTTTCTGATTTTCCTCCTCTCGTGTTTTTGACTGAAACTAAGTTCATAGTTAGGTGACATTAATCTTGGTTATTAAGCTCTTGGTTAGATTATTTTCAATGAAAATAGGATTGTTTCACATACCACAGCTGAAGCAGTTTCCATGGCCACTTTCCACACATAATGATTCAAACAAGATTACTGAAAGCATCTTTCTAACCACAACTCTCTACCATATTAAAAGGTTACTTCATGTGGCTTTTCTAGCCAAATCGTTTTCTCCCTAAAGACGAATGCCACTGGATTTATATTTTTGTCAAAGTAGAAACTACTTTCTTATTTCATATCTTAAAATCATCACTTTCACTACAAAGTAAAAACTGTCAGTGCTAAGAAGTACTTTCTAAATTGATAGAAGGAAGAAAAATTAGTGCTATCCCTTTTAAGTATGCTGGGTACACAAGGGAATAATAGAGTATATTTGTCCTCCACAAAATATATTTTATGGAAATATTTGCAGGGCAGTTCTTTTTGGTAGCAATCTTTCTTTCTTTCTTTCTTTCTTTCTTTCTTTCTTTCTTTCTTTCTTTCTTTACATTGCCAAAGAAGAAATTTAATCAATATAAAAACCAGAAATATAATTAGAAGTCATGAAATCAGAATCATCCATAGTAAGGATCCTTTCTGAACACATTTTAAAAATATTTTACATTTATATTTGCTTATTGATTAATAGAAAAAACACATTAGAAGAACACTTAAAACATGATAAGGGCAAATGAAGAATATCAAAACAGTAATACCAAGAATCTGTTGATACACAGAGCAGAGAAACACATAACATAAGAAAAGCATTAGATATCCTAAGTTGGATTCCCTTCATATGGAACAAATCAAGTTATCACTCAGCAAGAATCATTTGATTCAAAAAGTATTCATTCAGTATGAATCTAACCACTAAGCATGCTTGATTTGAAAATCATTAACACAATGAAACTTTATAGTTTGTGAGAGTACAATCAAATCAGATAAACACATACAAACCAGATTGAAAAAAATACCTAGAATATTGTTCAACATAAGGAAATCTAAGTCACTTTTTTGCTATTTGGTGTTTTTCCTGACATCATAAGACAACCTGATATATCTCATTCCCATTCCATTTTTTTCTTTTTTTATTGGATATTTTATTTATTTATATTTCAGATGTCATCCCTTTTCCCCATTTCCCCTCCCTAGAAACCCTTATCCCATCCCCCTCCTCTTTTGTAGCAATCTTTCTAGTGCATCAGTTTTCAAATCACTACTAGTGATCCGAAGGAATAGGAGAAGGCCATTCATATTGGCTACTATTCCTTCCAGGCTTCTTTTTTTTCCCTATGCACAGGTTCTAAATATAATTAGAGACCTATCCAGTATATACAAATCTATAACTCACTTTTATATTTTTTCCACAAACTACACAGTTCCCTCTTATCAACAACCATAAACATCCTAATTAGACTAGACTTTTCTTATATAAATAGTTCAACTTAGATTGTTTACAACTACTAACAATAAATAGTAACGCTGCATTATAACAATAGAGTATAATAAAATTTATGTGAAGTGTTTCCCCCTCCTTTTCTTTTGCTTATTGAGCAAGTGGTACATACAGACTGGATAAACTTGGCAAGACAGCATGGGATGGACTGGGATGGGGAGCAACTTCATCATACTACCCAAAATGACAAAAACACATAAATCATTTGTTCTAGAATTTTCAATTAATATTTCCAGACCCACAGTTAACAGAACTATGGGAAGTAATGATGTATAAAAGGAAGCCATGATATAATTTTTCAAATGTTAACATGAGCTTACAGAATGGAATAATCTTTTTGGTAGGCTTTATTTTTAGATATTTGTTTCCAAAATGTATATTTAAATTATATGTGACTTTCATATTTTAGCCATAAAGTTCAATGATGAATTAATTTAATTGACACACTTTTGAAACATTTACCATTTTTCCAAAGGTTTGAGATTATGGATTATAATCTAAATCATGTTTTTATCTAAGCACTTTATTAATTGTCAATGCTTACAGTGTGACTTGGCTCATTTGACTTGTAACTGCATCATTCACTTTCTTAAAACTATTTCAGTTAAGGTCCCCTTGATTGTCTTTGTAGACTTCAAAGCATCTTAAAATAGAAGTCTTACTATACTATGTCCTTCTTCTAATGCACATACCTACCAAATTTAGTTTCTTAAGACAAATTTTCTTTGCAGAGAAACAGACCCAGCAATGATCCCACCACAGGGGAAGTTAAGTTGCTCTGATCAGTTCAGGACAGAATAGAATGAGATCCTGACTCATAGTAAGCAAAAAGGGAGAAGGGAAGGAATGGAAAATATGTAGATTAAATTAAATTAAAACATATCTTAAACTATTGAAATAGTCATCCCATTAGCCAAATATGGTGGTGCACCCCTTTAATTCCTTGGGAGGTAGAGGATGGACAATCAATACGAATTTGAGGCCAAACTGATCTACATAGTGAGTTCTAGACCAGCTAGGGCTACACAGTCTGACAGTGACCATACAAACAAACATCACACCATTGCTTTCCTAAATTTTCCCATGGTGACTTTTGGGTGCCTAATGGAAAAAGGTGAAGCTACCTGATATGGCAATCATAACTTGGCCCCAAAGTATCTAGCTAATCTTAAACCTTCTAACACAGAGTCCTTTGTTTAATACCCCCAATTCCAAGGACACACTGTACTACATTCTGTCCCCTTGATATGAGATCATCATATATAGCTATATGCACCTATGCAGTGCTTTTTTTGCTGTCCTGTCAAAAATGACTTAGTATCATTTCAATATTTTGAAATTTCCAACAGATCAAATAACACCCTTCTACTCAAAATTCCTCCAATCTCTTCAATAAGAAATAAAGATTGTTGCCCTCAATTTCTATGTACTTTAGTTATGACAGTCTTATAAAATTGACTATAGTATGTCTTCAATTATAATTACTTATACACACACTTATATAATCTTCTGCACATGTACACTCACTAGGTTATGAACAGAATGTAAAGATTATTTCATATGTTATGTTTGTTCCACCATTGATTTCAGTGCTTGATAAACTTTTGGTGAATGAATGAATCTTAATTTTAGTTAAATCGGGACAAAGTCATCAGCCACAAGAAATAGACTGTCCTTTCTTTTGCACTCTCTCATCTTCATTAAGCTCACTGGCTTAACTTGAGTCTTACCAATTATTTAAACAACAACAAGAAAAAAACCATTTTTCTAGCTTGATTCAGTTTTTACAAAGCCTAAAATATAATGTTTATCCATGGGAAAGAAATGTTTGGCAAGGAAGCAGAACTTCAGAGTGAAACAAATATATTTACAAAGCCTGTCTGGTAAAAACATAGATGGTATTAGAAGTTCTCAAGATCGAAGAAGGAACTAGAGCTTAAATAAATTGCTGAACATAAAATCTACTCTTAAGAGTGGAACACAGATGAGTGCTACTGGGAAACCTATTTTGATTAAGTGATCTGGTACAAAAAAGACCAAATGGAAAAGGCAAGGTTCTATTGAAAGTCCCTAGCTTTGAGGCATCTCGCTGGAGAAGTAATTTCGGTTTTTGCTTTCCTTCTTTATTTAGGCTCCCTTGGGAACATCGTCACTTGAAAACTTAATTTGTCTTGGCAAGGAATAAAATACCAAAGTTAGCTAGCAACTTAGTGACCAGTTTTATAACTCAAAGGTTCTTATTATCCTTGAATAACTGACTATTCATTTACTCTCACAGAAGCTAATAGCTACTGCTAAGGAGATGACCATGAACTAAGATGCTTGATAGCCATGTAGAACTGAGTGTGACATCTAGAAGTTTAAAGGCAGCAATCACATTTTGAGAATGAATAACAATATAACTGCTGCCTCAGGAAGCTTGATAGAGAAGTTCACTTCTCTAAGTGTACTTCACTAAGTATACTAAGCACATTTGTCTGCCCCATTAGCAGTTCAGTGTATTACCACAAACACTGCTCTAGACTTAATCTGAATACTTAACAGGCATGATTTTTTTTTTTGACTAAAAAACCCAGCAGCAATAAGATGGTCAGCAATGAAGGAAACAGAGAAATCATACCTTTGAACCAGGTGGTGCTGTCAAGCCTAAAAAGGCATAAACTGCATTATTTTCTCTGGCTTCAAAGAAGGCATCATAATCCTTTATGAAAAGAAGACAAAAAATTAGCAGTCTGCAACCCAATAGAGAGAGATGTGCTCATAATGAAGTGACTGGCTGACAGGATCAGGAGTCCTCTTGGGGCCTAAGCTCTGTAATGTTAAAATTTTGGAAGGAGTAATAAACAGACAAATAGACAGGTGTGCTTCTGAGACTACACATGTGTAATACCAACTCTGGAGGCTGAGGCAGAAGGATCACTAGTTCCAGGCCAGACTACACTCCACAGAGAAATACTATCTCAAAAAAAAAAAGCCCAGACAAAGCATTATTAAACAAAAAATAAATAAAAATAAATTAATTAAACCTCCAAAATTATCAGTATATTTGTTTTATAATAGCTTCTGGTTTTGTGTTTTTATGAAATTTCGATATATGTGAGTGTGTGTATCTCTGAAGCCATGTGCGTGTTTTGTGCTTTCTCTTTGAGTGTCTTTTTCTTTGTTTGTTTTGTCCTTTGATGGTTTGTTTCCTTTTGTCATAATGTATTTTACTTTACTGTCTTTTTAAAGGTAATTGTATGTTTTCTAACAATAGAGAGCAAGAAAAGGTATAGAATTGGGTGGGTAGGGAAATGGAGAAGTCATGGGATGAGTTTGGGGAGGGGAAACTGTAGTCATATATTGTTGGGAAAAGTCAACAACAGAACAAATACAAAGAGGAAAGGATGGGAGAAGGGAGAAACAGCATTTGGATACTATTTAATGTGTACTAGAAGGTAAGTTGGTCTTCGGGTCATAAAATGCCAAATGGACTATTGCATATCACACAGAAGTAAATAGCTGCTTGTATCTTCCTCCACCACTTAAAGCAAGCATTACTCAGCAGTAGATTGCTTCTTTCTAGTGGAAGGCTCATTCCAATTTTCCATATTTCTCTTCCCTCACTGAATTCAATGGTGATTTTGTCAGCCTGAAACCAATATTAGCTACTTAAGGCCAGAAGAACAGTGGGGCTGTACTGTGTTTATAAAGAGAGTAAAGCATTCTTGAAATATGAGCAAAGAAAGCTTTAACCCTGAGTATACAAGAAAATCCTGACGTGTCTCAATTTTGTTCAGCATAACATTGCTGTTCACTAAGCCTTCACCAAAAGTAACAAGCAGAGTTGTCTACGATTGTAACTTGTAATCAACAGCAAACACAGTTATATGTCTATTTTCTGTACATGACCTTGATTAGTGTGATTTCTAGATATGCACAGGGAAGGGAGACAGTAAATAAATTAAACAATAAGAAAACTAAAATAAAATCAACAAAAAAACCATTGAGTCCTTCCTTTCCCTCATATTCCTCATAGTCTGAACTTAAAACATTTCGCTTTAGGAATCAAAGTTAAGAGAGTCAAAACATGAGTTGTAGCATGGAAGAAAAGAATTGCAAAATATGTAAGTGGCAAGGAATTTATTTCTAAAATATATAAAAATCATGACATAATAGTAATAAAAAAATAAAAGTAAGACTGACTAAACAGACACTTAAAGAGAATAAGATGGCAAATAAGCACATAAATGTGTGTTCATATCATAATTTTGATCATTACATAAAAGCATTAAAATGACCAAAAGCTACTAAGACGCCAAGCTATTTAGGTTTGGTTTAAGAGTCTGAGAAGTGGCTCAGGGTTGCAGCCTTTGTCTATCATGTGTAAAATACTGGGCAAAATATGCAGCAACATTAGGAAAAACCAAACAGTCACAAAACTTCCGACAGTATCAGGAGCTGAAGGGAAAGACTGAGTACCAGGAAAGTGTGTAAAATGACACAGTCAATCCAGAAACATTCCACATCCCTTACAAATTAAAAGTACAATCACTGTGTTAAGGGGATTTACCCCCTGAGAAATGAGAATTAATGTTATACAAAAATCAGGAAACAAATGCAGAAAGCACTTATAATTACAATGGCTCGGATTTGAAAACAATAAAAATGTCTACCAATGTATAATGATATACCACCATCCAACAATATGAGGGGAAAATGTATTGATGCAGAAAACAACTAGATCTTAATCACATCCAATTCATTGAAAGAAACCAGCATCGAAAGACTTCATACTGTATGAACACATTTATATGACCTTATCAAAAAGACAAAATTATAGTGATGATGATAGATTAGTGTTGGCCATGGATTAGGGGTAGGCATAGCATATACTTATAAAGGAATATCATGAGAGTTTGAGAGATGATTCTGCATTTTTATAGTAGCACTAGTTCCACAAACCAATGCATGTGTTAAAATTCAGAGAAAACCACACACATACCAAAAAAGCTACTACCATACACTAAAATTTCAAACATTAAACTTACAAAATGTAATTACATTTTAAGGAAAAATGGTAAAAGCTAAAATATATAGATTTAAGCTAACTCAACTAAAAATGGACTGAAATATCCAAATAGCACATGCCTCAAATGAGTATCTACAAAAGCCAAGGCTTATGAAAAATGTTCATCATAATGAATTATTGAGGAGTTCTAAATTAAAACCACATGTAGGGGCTGGAGATATGGCTCAGTGGTTAAGAGCACTAACTGCTCTTCTAGAGGTCCTGAGTTCAATCCCCAGCAACCACATGGTGGCTCACAACCATCTGTAATTGGATCTGATGCCCTCTTCTGGTGTGTCTGATGACAGCAACAGTGTACTCATCTAAATAAAATAAATAAATCTTTGAAAAAAAAGCCACATGTAGATACCACCTTTAACCATGCAAAAATGAAGTTTTTCAAAAGGACAAAAACGTAATGAGTATTGTGAAAGATGCAGAGGAAGTAAAACCTTCTGTACTATTGCATACGTATGTAAATTAGTACAATCATCATGGAAAATCTATTATAGAGGTTCCCCGAACTATTAAAAAAGAACTACCTTAAGCCAGCCTGCTCTATATAGCAAGCTATGAGACACCCAGGACTAAATAGAGAGACCCTGTGTTTAAAAAAAAAGGAGGAGGAGGAGGTAGAGGAGGAGGAGGAGGAAGAGGAAGAGGTGGTGGAGGAGGTGGAGGAGGTGGTGGTGGTGGAGGAGGAGGAGGGGGAGGAGGGGGAGGTGGTGGAGGAGGAGGAGGTGGAAGAGGAAGAGGAGGAGGAGGAGGAGGAGGATGGGGAGGAGGAGGAGAAGAAGAAGGAGAAGAAGACAACAACTCCCTTTTATGGCACATATCCTAAGGAAGTGAGGTCATTATGGGTATAAGTCTTACACCTGTAGTCCTACCACTCATGGTGAAGACAAGAGAATTGCCTGAGTTTAGGGTCAAACTAGCCTCTCTATAGGGAACCCCAGGTTTAAAAAAAGCAAAGAAATCAGTCTGTCAAAGAGATTGCTACAATCAGATATTACTGCAGCACTAGTCACAACGGACAATCTATAAAATCAGCTGGTATCCTGCAATGGATGAAGGAATAAAGAAAATTCTGTATGTGGGCACAGTAAAACACTATTCTGCCTTTAAAATAAAACTCCATTATCTCTGACATGGATGAACCCAGAGAATATGTTAAGCAAAATAAGCCATCAGAAATGCAAATACCTTGTGTTCTCTACTTTTGAATTACTGAATTTACATATAAAGTTAGTATTTTAATAAGTATATGAAGTAATAGATTTCATTATGAAATTTGTGTGTGTTGTATATGAGTTTTTGTGTGTATGTGTGCATATACATGTGTATATGTTTGTAAAAGCCAGTGGTCATCATCAGATGTCCTCTACCTAATATTTGGGAACAAGGTCTCTCAGTGAAGTTGGAACATTACAGATATGCACTGCCTTGTCCACCTTCTTTACCGGGGAACTGAGGTGATGAACTCGGGTTCTCATGCTTCTGCAGTAAGAACTTAATGGAGTCATTACCTCAGACTTTCAGACTTGCACTATGGGATGTTTGTTGCTTTGCTTCCCCTCCTCTCTTTGCACTCTTTGCATGATTCTGTTTCTCTCTCTCTCTCTCTCTCTCTCTCTCTCTCTCTCTCTCTCTCTCTCTCTCTCTCTCTCCCTCCCTCCCTCCCTCTCCCTCTCTCTCTC